AGATCCCTTCCTTGCTATACATGGAAAATAAGTCATGGAGAGGCCCATGCTGAGATGGGAGAATCTGCATTCACTTGGTCTGTGACATTGCTTTATGCAACACTACAGTGAAAAGAAGCATTTTAGGTGATGGATGAGCTTCTTTCCGTATTCAGTTTCCTTCCCTGTTCAAATGCCTTCTTGCTTGTGTAAGATGGTATGAAAGAAGAATCAAAGTTTTGATTGTCTATAATTTGATTGCACTACCCTCCAAACAACGTTTCGCTTGATTTCCACTTCACTTTAATCTTCTGAGATAGCCTTAACATAATTTTATATTTAAAGCTTTGTTGGAGGATATGCTGCCTCTTTGTGAAGTATCCCTTTTCCCCAGCACTGCAACATGTCTCTTGCTTACTAACTGCCTAACTTTGCTTCCTTTCAGTGTTTCCTAGGACATCAAATGAGAGCTTGAGGTACTCAGAAACCTAGCATTGCAATGAAAAAGAACTTATTAAAGTTTATAATTACAGAAAAATTAATCAAAGACACTTAGCATGGTACTTGCATAAAGACAATAAGCCAAGTTCTTGTCATAGTGAAATATAGAATAACTCCATTGAAATAAATCTTAATTATGCTAGAGTCACTACTCAGTGTGACTTAATTAAGAGTAGAGCAGTGAGAGCCTTTTGAGAAAAAAGAACACTGATTACAAATTACTTTACTTCGTATTTCTTCCGTCCCCTCTTGTTCTTTTCCTTCCCACTGGAGAAAATTTCAAAACTAGAGTCGTTCAAGTGAACTCAAATAGATATTAGCATGTGACAAGTTACACCCTAAATAGGAATTGTTTGAAGTAAAAGGTTAAGAACAATAACCCTGATGATAATCTCTTTAAATTATTCATGCAAGGTGCCATGCATCCATACCTATCTTGGCCATAAAAAGTACGTTGCTTTGTTAGGCAATAAATTTATGAAACATCAAATACTCGACTACAGAGGTGAAAACTTAACTCTAATAAAAAAGGCAGAGGAATAGGTTAATTAAGGTTAAAATAGCCTGCATGGGAAAGTGTAAAGAAAAAATTACAGAAAGAAAATATATCTTCACTGCAGCCTCCTGAATGCAGCATGCAACAATGGCTATAGAGTATAGACAGATATATTGTTCGACAAGCATATCAATAACGTAAGAAGTTCATTTGTCATGATTTCACTTCTGACCAGATAGAAAGCATGCAAAGCCAGATATATCATGGCAATAAATCTGTTGACTTCAACAGAGTTATCTCAACAATGTATTCAAACCAATATACTTTGAGGGAATGAAACCAAACCAAGTAGGAAACGCACACAGGGTTCTTGGCAGCTTATATAGACCCTATATAAATCCAGACATGAAAGGAATAAGTGCAATATCCCAGGGGACTTATGGTAAGTGGAAAAAAAGTGTATAATGAAGATCCAATATGCAGCATGTATCAGAGTGTCAAATTGCTTTGCATGGGCCATGTCCTTTCTTCACAGGTACTTACGCAGCTCCAGTTGAGCTGAACAAGTGCTGCAGAAAGGGGTAGAAATTATTGAAAAGGACTGAAAGCAAAATAAGCAAATAAAGGAGAAGGAATTAAAAACATATGGACTCCCCATCCCCAAATGATTCCAATGTGAACTGAATTACAGAAGAAAATAATCTTTTTTTTAGCTCGAGATTAAAGTTTTCCTTGTTCCACAAAGACTGACGTATCTGCAGGAGTAACAGTTGCAACAGCCTTTCTTGGTAGGTAGGGAAAATGGTTGATAAATAAAGTAATAAAATGACACCCATGGAAGATCTGGTTTGTTTTCTGCTCCACTCCCGCATTGATGTAGAAATAAAAAACTTCTAGTCCCAGAGTGTAATCTATATGTCTGGTATGTACAAGTGCTATTGTTCATGCGTGATATTGAGAGAGAAGCTGGTTTGACATCTCATCAAACTCTAGCTCATTTGTGTGAGCCAAACTTCAATACTGACATCTTCTGATTTCTTAGCTCACCATTCTCTGCTAGGGAATTCCAGTGGCAATTTTTAAATGATCTGTTCTGCATAAAAGCCAAACATAAAATTTGAGCTGAGTTACTCCTGGGGTTTATCCTTAAAATAGATGCGTGGGAAGCAAATTTCTAAGGTTTTCTTCTTTTCTCTTTCACTTGATATTTGGTCATTTTAAGCGGGGTTAATCTCACCGAATCTGGATGAGTCTGCACTGCCGATGTCTGTGTCTGAACTAAAAACGCTGAGTTCCCTTTATCACTAATGGAGAGAAATATGCATTTTTAAAGGTTTGATTCATTTACTCCTGATGTAAAATGGGTCAGAATTGACTGTCCCTCTCCTATGGCTATAAAGGGAGCTCAGAAATAAATATCTACATTGTCAACGTCCAAAGTTAGATGAGACGAATCTTGGCTTTGATGGCTTTGGAAAAGGCTCCTTTCTTCAATACAATGCATGACATAGATCCCTGGGATACATCTGGGCAGTACAAGAGAAGACCAGCAACATCCCCTGTGACACCTCCAGAAGTGATACCCAAGGGTCACAGTTGTGCTGTAACAATCCAGGTTTTCTATGGACAGTGGAGGAAATGTAAGAAGGCATGGAAAGCTTGACATTCATAACCGACTGTTCTAAAAAGGCTGGATATTGCACAATGTCTTCAAGATGCAAATCAAGGTCAGTAAATACTTCCCAACTAGTGACACATCTGAGTCATAACCCAACATTAAAACATCCCCTGCTCCTAAATCTTTCTAAACTATTTAGGTCTCAGTTTTGCAGCTGGCCCTTGAATATCTTGGATCAAACCAGTAGTCTTGATCTAGCTACACCTGAAGTTTAGATCTGGATTCAAACTTTGGAAGCTTTACCTATCTAGAAAATTTATCTTTCTCTAAAACCTGTTGCATGCAAAAAGTCCCTTGAATAATCAAGAGCTTTGACCACTCCTAAAACACAGAGGTCATTTTTGGCAAATGGTAATGGCAAAGTCCAGAAAGTATAGAGAAGAGGCGAAACTGCATTCCTTGGAAATAGAAGCAGCTAATGAACATTAGAACTGGCTTTCACATGGCTTTTTGTGTTGCAGGTGAATTTTCTCTGGCTCTCCCTAACCATGAAACAGTAGGAAGAGGTGAGAGAACAAAGGTGAGAGAGGTCACAGAACAAAGAATCAACTTCTTGCAGAGAGCTTTTTAGTGAAACATATGTACACGATCTCATCAGCAAACTCTGCAGATTTGAGACTGAGTTAACCAGCCACAAATAGACATGTATACACATTTTGGAAGGCGAACAGCTTCCAGACATCTTTTAAAGGTACCCACAAGTAATACAAAATAGACATAAACACGCCATATAGTGATATCTTTACATAGTGTCCTCATGGATACTATATATTCAGGAAGACATTGCTCATGTAGGTGATGCTATACCATACTCCAGAGAGTAGAAAGCAAGCCCTTTTAAAATGCTGAAAGGGGAGATGGACACGGCAAGTTCCAGCGCAGAACTGGGCCAAGAGCAAACTGAAATGGCTAGATCTGTTTCTATCCCTTCTCTTGGGCTACTAAGCTGTATAGTTTACAAAGCGGAAAAAGTCATTCATAGTTCTTTACAGTACAATTTCTGGTGTCACATAGTAACTGCAGATTTACTGCACCCTCCTGTGAAATTTCAACTGCCATGACAAAGCTTTGTGTTGCAGACGATCAACACTCAAATATTTAGGAGCAATAATAATAAAGACATTTCGCCCTCCCAGCCCCTTCCCACGGGGGACCGATCTGTCTTTTTACAACTAGGGGTTGATTCAGCCCCGTGCAAACCTTAACAAGGTCTTTTGTGTGTGTGTGGCAAGTATTTGACTGATGTTTTGCTTAAAGAAGGGGAAAATCCCACTTCCTGCAGCATATTGCAGGGACCAGCAAACATGTCCCTTCGTCCGTTGGACCAAATATATAATGATAATACTGTGCGGGTGCTCCAGAGCTGACTCAGCTGTTACACGATCACATTATGCCCGTGATATGCAATCCATCATTACGTTTAAAGTGCCTGCTTGATTAATATTCAGTATTTAATGTCAACACTGAGAAATTAGAATTCAAAAGTGTTACACTGCAGGAACTGCAAATACTGGTGCAGTGGTAATGGCCTGGGTTAGTTTCATGAGATCTGTTAGTTCAAGGGGAATTTCACAATTCAGAAATACCAAAATGTGTGTATGGTACTAACTACCAGCTGTGAACTCTTGGGATAAAGGTCACGTGTCATATTTTAAAAAACTAAATGTTAAATTTCCAAATGGCTATGATTATTTCTTCTCCTATATAAACAGTACCTCTATCCCTTAGCAGTATAGCTTTGCCATCCATATTCACAATAACACTCTAATTGTGGCATTGCAGATATACATGGTATACTAGAATTGGGAAGTGCTTTGGCTGAGATCGCTTTAAAGATCTACTTCCCAAGTGCATAGGTTTCATCTTAACCAACTTGCTCAAGAAAATAAGAAAAAAATACCATGGCATTTTTTATCTCTTTTGGTCTTGTTCCCTCTTCTCATTCGAAATGTTTCCATGGACAATTTTATCAAACAAATCTGCCTTTTTCCCTACTGTTTACTTAATGGTAACTCTTTTTTTCACCTTTGCTTCAGTCCTACATATGACAGATCAAGCAATTCCCATTAGAGCTACAGTTTGAGATTCAGGAACACTTAATGGCCAACAGACTCTTCCCTGGTGGAGAATGAGGATTCAAAGGAAACATTTGAGATTATTTTTACTTTCATTATTTTTGTTAAAAAAAGTTTGCACCTTGATGTGTCATGAATACCCCTTCTTGATCTTCCTTTGCCTTGTCAGACCTGGCCAGCACAAGCAGCTGAGATCTTTGCTCTATTTTCCCTGCATCTCTGTGCAACGCTTTTTTAAAAAGAGAATATACTATTATTTTTTCTAAGCCTTTCAGACTGCTGTAACATGATCAGGATTCTCCTGAATCTCTATGCATTCGATCTCTTCTCGTTCCTTCCTTTTGGCCCGTTTCTTTTTCTTGTGGTGCTTTTTGGAAGGTGGGAAAAAGGTTAGAAAGACGGGCAAAATAACAAAACAGTGCAGAAGTGTGCAACTGCCGGCAAGCAGCAAGCATTTGAACAGTGTGAAGGTCAAGTTTGAAGGCACAAAGAGAAGGGGGACCAACCCAATAAGAAAAGAAGAAACGTTCTGCAAAATGGCTGTCCCATGCTCTTGGAGGGAGTTCTTTATACACTGAGTTCGGGTGTGCTCAGTAGCTAGTACAAATGTATAAAGCAGTGGTGCACAGTGATCTATGGCAAAATTCAAAGTGTAGATAAGGCACAGTATAGAAATGCAATCCATGTCTACATTCCATAAAGTCATCAAGCCAAGGACACCCAGCTCTATTGAGGTGACACTGAGAATTAACCAGAAATTTCCCAGAGGATGGATAACCAGGAAAAAGGTCAGTATCAACACCAGCAGGATGCCAAAACCAGAAATCAGGACAGGCATAGTTACTGATAAACCATAGTGGTCCATGAAAACAAAAGTAGGATTGAACACAATGAACTTGATGCTCTGTATAAGAGAGAGTGGCCTCAACTTCTCCAACAATTCTACCGCCTCCCTCTGTGTGTTTTCACTAGTCCTGGCCACCAGGTATAAACGAGAAGCAATTATGTTGTTCTCATCCCCAGCCTTGGAGAAAATGATGTCATTTTTGAAGTGTTGGAATTCAGGCTTTTTTAAAAAGGAGCTCTGGAGGATGCTGATAAAGTCACTTTTGTTGGTTGCACTGATGTTAGCCACTCGAAGGTACTGGTAATACTGTTCAATCCAGGACACTGTATTGAACCCCTGGCTCAATGTTTTTAGGTCTTCTTGCACAGTGCCATTCCAGTACTCCAGAGGTTCGTAAATGTAGAAACCTATCACTGGGCTGTAGTTGCTGAAATACTTTTGCTGTATTAGGGCATAGGAGACACTTGGAGACTCACTGGCAAGAAGGTTGATAATGTTGGCTCCATCATTAATCTGTAAGCACCCCATAAAGGAGAAAGAAGCATAGATGAGATATAGTATCACCACAAATGGCTTGACATAGATATTGGTAATCCACTCATTGTAATGCTCTCGGAGGAAATGCTGGATAAAGTGATGCTGGTACGGGTTGGTCTCATGATGAGAAGTCTGCTGATGGCCGTCGTTCATCATGGTCTGGAACCACACGGGTTTCCGGTCCAGGTATTCTGCTGAAGGAATTTTACAGCAGAAGATGCTGTGATAACGGTTCTGCTCCAACTGGCCAGCAAAGACTAGGCAGGAACCAAAGAAGGAGAAGATATAGAAGTAGTTCAACAGGATGGAGACACACATGTTCTGGCAAAAGACTTTTACAGCTTCAATGTTGGTGAAAGGGCTTGCACCCATGCCGAAGGCTATGAAATACAAGGAGCTTGTCATTGTATAGGAGACCATGACATCTGAGTAAGCATCTGCTACTCTGTCCTTGAATGGCAGATTCTCTCTGGTTCGACGCCATCCTGAAAGAAGTTCAAACACTCCTTTGGTTCCATGACCTGAAATGAGAAAACAAAGTATATACATGTCCATATATAAAGGGGGTCCCATCATCCTCCAGGTTTTTCATCTTCCAGCAGGCAAAAAAATTTGTCAGCTAAGCTTTGTTATGATTTTGTCACCAGTTAAACAAATGGAAAATTGTGAAGTGTCTGTCTAAAGCTAGATACTAGAATTCATATGCAGGTGCTTAAATTAACAGCCTGATATTCTGAGATTCTCCATGCTCAGAAATGAAATGATGAAATATCCTTTAAAAGGGACTCATTGATTTTAATGGACATTGAATTAGTTTCCAAATGGACTGCGTGTATAAGATAAAGGAGAAGTTTAGTTCAAGTCTGGGGTTCATTCTTGAAATTCCTTGTGGCATCCTACTACATCTTTCAATGCTTAAGGGACTCGGTGTGAAACGCTTACAAATGCAACTAACATCATTTTCTTCCAGAGAGTATAAATTAAAGACATTATTTGAGAAATGAGGAGGTGTGACCGAGAAAGGGACACCTTGGTTCTTCATGCTGGACAAATGAAAAAATATACTGCCATTAAGTACAAATAACCAGAATAACTTGTATGATGGTTCTCTAACTGCTGAGTGAAATTGGAACTTCTCAGAGACAGTACATGAGTTTCCACACTAGACAAAAGTTGACATGCTGGTGGTAATGACGGAGAGTACAGTACTGGCTAAATCACTGGTCCACATCCGTTGTCTAGAAAACTTACAGGGTTTTTTCATTATTATGTCTCCCTCTCTTTTTCTCTCAGCTATCCAGAGCTCCTCCTGGGGAGAAGGAATTCCCTTAGCTTACATGAGAGGACACTCAGAAAAGAGCCAGACGTGATCAGTGCTCCATGACATCTTCTTACTTTGTATTCCATCCTGAGAAGTATTTTAGGGTATGATTTTTTAATAAATTAAAGCTTAATACAGACTTACTTTCATTTTACTCATCACAGTCACAGTCCAGGAAGTCTACAGCTGTTAAACTTTGCGACAGAATGGTAAAGTTAAAGCTAATCTTACTGGAAAAGGTTTAACTAGTAAAAGTTATTCTATTATGTATATATATTCATATAATTTATATGTTGAATATATATACATACACACACACACATATTCTTTTATTTCCTATTAGAGAATTTCAATTTGGGGGAAAATATAAAAACTAACATTAAAAAACACAGCCAAAAGTGTTTGGCTTTCAAATAAAAATTTTGGTCAAAAATTAAAAACACGTATTTGGGTTTGGATGAGAAAATGGAAAGTTCTTTACACTTTGGATCAAGACCTGACAAAATTCTGGACACATTACTGAGCAGAGAAAGAAGTAGAAGCAGATTGCAGGTGCTCCTGCCTCTGTTTGTGTGCCTTCACTCTCTGCAGTAGAAGAATTGCATGCAATAAAGCATGCACAAAGGTAATTTTCTTGTGACAAACCCAGAAATATGACAACAGGAGATTTGCAAATAATGAAGTGTGTAATAGCGAACAAAATTCTGTTGAGTATGTCTTTTGATTTAAATTGTTTGGATGCATACAGTTGCTTATGTTGCCCAAAGCAGACTCCTGACAGCCATTCTAGACAGGGAATATTACAGCATAAACTGTCAAGTTCTGTGAATGTTACCCGTTTTACTGCAAATCAGTGTCCCCGGTGAAAGATAAACATACAGTATTACAGAAGTCCTGCAGTTAGTAAAAAGCCTGTGTGGAAATGGTGCTCTCTTATGAATCAGCATCTTGGTTCAGGAGGGACCTTGAATCCCCTGGGAAGTTTAGGGTGAGTCTGTTCAAATTCTCAAGGCACGGCTGTCTAGCACACTGTCACTTTTGGACCATCAAGCAGAACGAATTGGCTCCTGAGTATAGCTGCAAAGTCCAGTGACTTAGATGCAATTTTATATTATGCTTAAAGCAAGCACGTACTTACCCTGCAGGGTGTGGACCAGGCTGGCTGGTCACCACTTCCAGTGCCCCTGTCCTGGCATGGCTTAATTTAATGGTATAGGAGCTGTGTTTCATTCTCCTTTGGGGACAGTAGAGCACAATGATCTCCCTCAGATGTCACACTCATCCCCTTTCCATCTACCGATTGATTTTGGATGGTCCTTTTCCAGACATTTCTGACAAAGGTCCCTTTAATGTATGACTTTAACACTCAAAACTTGGTCATATCCCATATGTCCATAACACTTGTCTTTCCAAGCCAGCTCCTGACCTCATTCTTGCCCCTTCTCTTCCAGCTTGAGGTACCCCTCTTCTTTTTCTCTCTGTCTTTTTGTTTTCTTCTTTTATAAGGAAGGCTGGGGGGATGAGTAGTAGCACAGGATTTCTGCTCCTACTGCTGGTGTCATTCCTCCCATCTCCCCATCCCACCAAGACTCTTCCACTGAGGGCAGAGTGATCTTACTGAGCCGAGATGCTGTTTTCTACCTCAGTTTCTTCTCTTCCCCCCACTCTCCCAGGTACCTTGCTGTGATCTAAAACTAAGAGAATCCTTGATCTACAGATGCCACATTGGAAACACTAATTTAGGGTCTAGCTGAGACTTTGAGAACATCTTTCCTCTCTAACTTCTCTCTTCATGACGGTAGCCACATTGGGTCAAACCAAGGGTTGCTCTACCTCTGTCTAGTTGACCTGACAAAGTGCAGGGATAGATTTTCAAGAAAAGGATGTTGGAAACATATAGAGTAATTCTTTTCCATTTCAGCCTCTGAGATTTATGCATTCAGCCAAAATGCCTGCCAAAAGCGGAGGCTGTATTTGCAACATCATGTTTGGAGGCATTCACGGACCTTTATTCATCTGTCTAATCCATTTCTAAATGCACTCATACTTTTGGCCACCACAGCCTCCTCCTACCAGGAGCTTTATAACTTCATTACTTGCTGAATGAAGGAAGGACTGGCTTTTGTTTGTTTCAAACTCTCAGCCACTATAACTTCATGGCTGAACAAAGCAAAATGTAAACCTGTTAACACGTGAGCATTGTCTTTAACAAAACCTGTTCTATGCATTTGTCCTTTGTTCCTGGGATCTCACATCTGAATAGTCACAGCATCCCCCACCCTTCTGACACCTCTCCTTGACCACATGTCCACAGCTAGGCACGTGCTCCCCAGCTGTCTGTCCAAGACACATATGCTAATTTGCCATCTGGATGTTACCAATAAAATATGAAATAGCTGAGTTCTACCTTCTACCTCCTCTAGGAGATACTAATCTGGGATTTTTCCTCTTTCTAGGCATCAACTTTGATAAAGCTTCTAGGACTGCAGTAGTCCCTGACATCTCTATCCCTCTTCCAGATGTGGCTGAAATAGGCCCATTATTTGCGGGCTGTTGTTATACGTGCAAACTTATGGAGAGAATAGCTGTCGGAGGCTTTTGTTAGGAATCACAGTTAAAAGTGATTGGCAAAATCAAATAACAAATAGAAGATTTTGAAAATGTTAAAACAGATAGTGTGGATCATTGTGAAGTTTTTAAATTGGAAATTTAGCAAAAGCAGTCCTTTTGCAGAAATGGTTTAAGTTATGATGGATTGGCATTTTCCAGAAAAACCTTAGGTGAAGCAATGCTCTACCAGCTTTATCAACAATTTACAGTAATATTGACTTTTCTCTGCTCATTCCAAAATCTCACTTGTCTGTCCACCTGAAGCGATATGTTCACAGCTGCATCTTTACCACATTTTTGTGGTAAATTCTTATTAATGTGTAAATTTTACTGTATCACATTCTCAGTAATGAGTACATGGGTACACTTAATCTTAGGGTAAGTACGTGATGACTGATAGAAAGGGGGTTTATTGTGAAACATATATGTATGCAAAGACTATCCAAGAGTATACATTAATGTGTATGTACTAACTAACTAATACTGAAGATTAAAATACTGTAACTAAACTCTAGACTTTTTTCCTAACAGAACAAGTAGTATCTTAAGGAAATAAAATATTGATATTTGTAATGTCTTTGAGGATGAAAACTGGCACTAATTTTCTTATGATTATTATTACACAAATGTAAAATTTCCACTTATCCCCCTTTTGCAGATAACGTCAGCTCTATCACACAAATACAGGAACTGGGGAATAGAGTGCAGTAATTCCCTTGCTGCCACAAGCAGAAATCTTTCCCTGACTGGTTTTCCTGCATCATTACTCTTATACCAAGTTTTCCAGTCAGCCTCTGTTGTTCTCCCCAGATAAGCAGGTCTATTCCCCTTTCCCACCAAGGATACAAATCAATTTTTTTCTGAATTGGACAGAAACCAGTATTTTCGTGGCTCTTCTGATGATTCAGACACCACAGACACCACAGTCACGCTATAAAATTCTGATCCTTCAGCTTCATCGCTAATGTCACTGACAACATTGACAGTGGAGTTAAGTTCACTGAGCAGTTCTAGGAAGGTTCACAGGGTCTTTGGCTCTGGGTCAAAAATGTCAGGTTTCTCTAGTACTAACATGACATGAACAGCAATTTTTTATTTGTCAGACAAGCAATGGCCTATGACTACTTAAGAAGAAAGGAGACAAGAAATTTTTATTCCATTACTTATGAGGTTAGGAGAGCAAATAAGGATGGCTGCAGAGAAGGTAGAAATATATAATGCTTTTTCTGCCTCAATTTTCAAAACAAAAGGTTAATTATGAGCACATATTTAAAATAAGTTTGAAGAGGATAGGGATAAAAACATGAAGAGTGAAATAACAGATTAAAACCAATTGATTCAGTTAAATTTATTCAAGCTGGAAGAACCTGGAGAAATGAGTTAATTAAAAGCTGAGCCAAAGCAATCTGAACTATTACTGTCTCTGAACTGTCACCCTAGAGAATGAATGTAGATGGTATGGTCCAAGAAGAACAGAGAGGACAAACATAGTATCTACCTTCAAAAAGGAGAAAGAAGAAGACCTGCAGAACTTAATGTCCATCAGCTTAGTTCCTATCTCAAAAGGTAATAGAATAAGCAATTGCAAACCAATTTACCATCACCGAGAGGATAGGAAAGTGATCAGAAGAAACTGATATAGGTT